AGTAACTACGTCATTGTTACTTCGTGTAACATGTCAGTTACTACAATGTAAAATGAGAATGTTAAATCAATAATTTACCTTTGTATCCTACCATCAGTTACAGTAACTACTTCATTGTTACTACGTGTAACATATCAGTTACTACAATGTAAAATGAGAATGTTCAATCAATAATTTACCTTTGTATCCTACCATCAGTTACAGTAACTACTTCATTGTTACTACGTGTAACATATCAGTTACTACAATGTAAAATGAGAATGTTAAATCAATAATTTACCTTTGTATCCTACCATCAATTACAGTAACTACTTCATTGTTACTACATGTAACATATCAGTTACTACAACGTAAAATGAGAATGTTAAATCAATAATTTACCTTTGTATCCTACCATCAGTAACAGTAACTACTTCATTGTTACTACGTGTAACATATCAGTTACTACAACGTAAAATGAGAATGTTAAATCAATAATTTACCTTTGTATCCTACCATCTGTTACAGTAACTACTTCATTGTTACTACGTGTAACATATCAGTTACTACAGCGTAAAATGAGAATAATCAATAATTTACCTTTGTATCCTACCATCAGTAACAGTAACTACTTCATTGTTACTACGTGTAACATATCAGCTATTACAACGTAAAATTACAACACTATGCAACTCTAGCGTCATACAACACTATGCAACACTGGCTTCATACAATACCAAGCATCTCCACCTTATATAAGACTGTGCAATTCCAGAATATCATGTAACTACTATACAACTAATTACTGCCATTAATCACTAGAAAAATAAAAGGTTTCTTCTCATTTCTTTATCGTTATAAACGTCAAACTTCAAGTGTTAAAAAAAATAATGTAGTTTACGAAACAAAATGGCATTAGTTACCAACGTAGTCAGTCTTCGAAGTTGAGATATAACAACGTCTTTGTGTAAATCACGTAGCACAGCACAAGTAGGAGCAGTGCTTTTTAATGTAACGTCCCTTCTTTGTCATAAGTAGTTAACTTCCTGCTTTAAATACCAAGCGCAAAATTAAGATTGGAATAATGTACCACATGCATGACTTGCTACACTAGTTGGTTCTCTTTCATAACATTTAAATAAACATTGTTAAAGATCTGAAAAATGTGTTTGTTATTAACAACTCATTACTTTAACATTCTCGTTACAACACTATGCAACTCTAGCGTCATACAACACAATGCAACACTGGCTTCATTACAACACTATGCAACTCTAGCGTCATACAACACAATGCAACACTGGCTTCATTACAACACTATGCAACTCTAGCGTCATACAACACAATGCAACACTGGCTTCATTACAACACTATGCAACTCTAGCGTCATACAACACAATGCAACACTGGCTTCACTATGACTCCAGAAATACAAATGTGGGTCGGTGGGTGTGTTATGCTATGACTCCAGAAATACAAATGTGGGTCGGTGGGTGTGTTATGCTATGACTCCAGAAATACAAATGTGGGTCGGTGGGTGTGTTACGCTATGACTCCAGAAATACAAATGCGTGTCGGTGGGTGTGTTATGCTATGACTCCAGAAATTAGTGTAACGTTAAAATTATCCTAGTGATTTTTTGCTGAACAGAACAAAAAGTTAAAAGGTGCAATAGGCTATTGTGAAAGTAGAAAATGTTTGGAGACATTCGTTGACTTTCTTCATTCCGCCAGATGTAAAATCTTTCTAGAACATTCTGAAAAACAAAATAAAAGAGCTAAGCTTAAGTGTGATGAGTTAAACTGTTCATAACCTAATATATAGATTATGCAACACTATGCAACCCTATGCACCTCTTGTTTTATACAACACAATGCAACACTGGCTTCAGAAATTATTTCTACATACTGTTTTCCTCAGCTTATTACATTGTATATCAAATAACTTGTGTTACCAGTTTCTATTCTGATTGATCAAGTTTGTTTTTTATCTTAATCAATTCACAAATCAATCATTTAACCAGGAAGATAACTAATGAGTGCGTATAATAGAGGCGTCGCTAGGCACTGGCACACGAGGCCCATGCCCCGATTTTATTTCACAGTGCCCCGAATCCCCCACTTGGTGTCTTGAAAAATCCGAATAGAAAACCATGATCGATATAATACTGAAACGCCGCGCCCATAGGGCCGAGTCCCGAATCTTTTAAGCACCTCTAGCTTATAATGTATAATATTGTTTTTGATCATGTTCTCTTAAGCGTAGCGAATTCGAATTAAGAACAAAATAAATGTCACAATTTCATATCCAACCAATAAGTAAATAAACACTTACTCCAGGAAGAATGTCTTTTATTAAATACACAAACATGAAACACACAGGGCACAAGCTTACCGTTAGTATGTAATGGGATCTGCCCTTGGAAATATTTAAGGCAGAAACACAGTCAAACATCATATATATATATATAATCTGCAACCTGGGCCTGCGAGCAAAGAATGTGGATGAGGGTGGTCCTAGAAGCTGCTTGTTTGGGACACTTTCGCAGGTAACAACGAAGGATGGACCGCACATGCTCGATAAGGTTTATATCGGCAGTTGACCTGGTCACGAGAAAGTAGTAATGCTCTTAACTTCAACCCATCATTTTTTACTCGGGCTGAATAAGTAGGATTCCCATTTTGCACGAAGACACTACCTTGTCTGATAATGTTGTAAATGACGTAGGCATGTAGAAGAACTTCCTTGAGAACTGATGTATTAAGCAGGAGTGACCATACCGAAGACACTGCCTTGTCTGATAATGTGGTAAATAGCGTAGGCATGTAGAAGATCTTCCTTGAGAACTGATGTATTAAGCAAGAGTGACCATACCGAAGACACAACCTTGTCTGATAATGCGGTAAATGACGTAGGCATGTAGAAGATCTTCCTCGAGAACTGATGTATTAAGCAGGAGTAACCATACAGAAGACACTGCCTCATCTGATAATGTGGTAAATGGCATAGGCATGTAGAAGATCTTCCTCGAGAACTGGTGAATTAAGCAGGAGTGACCATACCCTCGCTTAACACTAACTATGATCTTCCAGCTGCCAAATAGTCCCTCATAACATATCAAAAACACCACAGGGTTTTGTCGTGGCTTTTAGACGGTGTAACAACTGTTGATGATAGAGTAATCACCTAATCCAAATGCGCCCGCTTCTTATGAACTGCGCAAATGTGGACTCGTTGTACAAAATTACACTGCCCAGAAGAGAAGGAGGGTGTGATAACATCTTTAATACACATTGCCTGGAGTGTTTGGGTTTGGTCTGTTTTTGAATTGCGCGCAAAGCTATACGAGGGCTATCTGCACTAGTCGTCCCTAATTTAGCAGTGAAAGACACTAGAGGGAAGGCAGCTAATCATCAACACCCACTGCCAACTCTGGGGTTACTTTTTTACCAACGAAGAGTGGGATTAAACGTCACGTTATAACTCCCCCAGAGCTGAAAGGGCGAGAATGTTTAGTGGGACGGGGATTCGAACCCGCGACCCTCAGATTGCTAGTCAAGCGCCCTAACCACCTGGCCATGCCGGGCCTGCCTGGAGTGGGGAGTAGCTTACATCTAACTACTCTACCACTGTAGCTCATGCTATGAAGATAACTTTGCAGAGTATTGGTGCACATTTGAGCGTGGGGAGTAGCTTACATCTAACTACTCTACCACTGTAGCTCATGCTATGAAGATAACGTTGCAGAGTATTGGTGCACATT